CATTTACGTAAAGGTGATCCACCAGGAAGGACAGCACAAAGCAGCCAGTGTCATTCATTCATTATGTACGCACTGCACAGGGCTCTGAAGAGACAGGTCAACAAAATGCACTTCTGGTTCTTGAAGAAAAATGACCAGGTGTGTTAAACATACGACGTAAACAGATGCCTGCTGTTCCAGACGGATGAATGGAGTGGAGCTGGAGCTTGCAGGAGAGCTAGGGGTGGCAGATCAGGGTATCAGGAGCAGGGGCAGGAAGCTGTGTGAGGGGGGTCCTGCCTGCCTTCTGCTTGGGAGTCCGCTCCTTTGTCCTTCCAGCCTCAGAGGACATATTCCCTCCTCCATGAGCCCTTCTTCGAAAGCCCACCTCCTCATCACTCTAGCAAGTCACTCCACTCATTTCTTTTCCGGTACTAGCTACAATCTACAGGGAAAGAAAGGCAGGCATCCTTTCCTGGATACCCACCAGGCGCCACGCACTGTAACCCTCAATCAGTGTGGTGTGCAGGTGTACATTCTTTCATGAATCTTCCCAGCACTCCTGCAGCAGCATTATTATCCGCCTTTTGCAGACCATAAAAGAGGTTCCAAGCGGACAATGCCTTTGCCCAAGGTCATCAGCTGGGAACAGGAACTGGACTTGGATTCCAGGGCCAGCTGCCGCCCACACCCATGGCACTTTCATGGTGCCAGGAGCAGACAGGTAGGCAAGGAAGGAAATGGAATGACTAGTCTACTGCCCCAGGCATCTTCATCCAGGAGTGATTTCCCTAGTTGGGTCTGCTGTTGCTGCGGAGACTTGGCGCGGATGAAGAGGGCTTCTTCCTGACTCAGCAGCACCACCTGCAGGGCATTAGGGGAACTGCAGACATGGCCAGGACTTGCCACTGATCTCTGCTGGAGCTGCAGGTGGGAGGGAACCCCAGGAAAGGCAGCATCCAAGGACCCAGAAAGGAACTTAAAGTCACAAAGTTAGAGATGGCAGGTCGGAAGATGTACTCCTGACTCCCAGTTCAGTACCTCTCCCCCCCACTTTCCCTTTCATCTTTCTCCTTCCCTTCCTCTTCCCTGGACTCCTCTTCCTCTCCCTCCCCCTCCCTCTTTTCTTCTGCTGCGTCTTGTTCTTCCTCCTTCTCCTAATCCTCCCTCCCTGTTTACTCATTCAACAATCTTTCCTTGTGTAGGGGAGTAGATCGCGGGCATCCTTTGTGGGATATAAATACTGGTAGCTAAAGTTTGCTTTCTGGGATTCTTGTTGCACGATTGTCACTGACAGGGTCCTTCATAATCGCCACCGAGATGCACTGACTTTACCACATGTTGGCACCACCTAAATGCTGCACTGCACTTGCTCCTCACAGATGAGGACCCGAGGCGTAGGGAGTTTTAGGACCCTGTGGGCATGGTGCAGTGAGCTATGGAGCTGGGATTCGAACTCAGATCCTTCTGACCCCAGAGCTAGAGCGTTTAATCACCATGTTATATTTATTCCTTAAAAGATGACTCAAGAACTATCCATCCTCTAATTGAATTTTGCTCCTATTTTAAGTACTTCTATCTCTTGTCTGAGAGTGGTATGGACTCTCACATGTATTACTTCTTAAATCCTCAGAGTTTCTGTTGAGGTTCTACTATATACCAGGTACTGTGCTAGGTGCCAGGGACAGAGAAGCAAATGTAACTCTGACAGGAGCCCACAGTTTTGTAGGTGTGAGTGTGACATATGGCAAGCAGCGAGGCCCATTCTAACAGAAGCTCTGCACGACTCCAGTGAGCTGTCACAGTGCTACTGACGGGGATGACACCTCCGGAGGTCTGCTGTGAGATGACACTTCCTGAGGTGACTGCACGTGGTGTCCCTGACTGAGTGGGATGGAGACATGGATCAGGGAAAAGAGAACAATTTCTTCTTTCTCTGCGGGGGAGGGGGTGGGGCATCACAGAAAGGGCACAGGGGCTGCTAATGTTGTCAAGGCTTTGATTTCCTCTTCTCTTCAAGGCTTTTGCAAATTTTAAGGAAATGTGTTTTTGTGTTTTGACCTGAAGGGCAGGAAATCGACTTCAGTTTCCATTTCTGCATTAGCTACCAAGTTGCATTTCTTTTAAGTTCCCAGGAATCTTGCCCTTGTTCTCCATTTTGGGGGGGTCGATGGGTAGTTTCTCTTTTTTGGGGTAGTTTGTTCCTGAAACTAGAGTGCAGCAACTGCAGGTGGCATGTCCCAAACCAGAGGATCAAGTGTGGACAGCCTGCGGTTGCATAAGGAATTTCTCTGCTAAAACCAGAGAGAAGTCCTCAGAGGGTGGAGCCCCATCACACAGATGCCTAACGTGGAAGATGGCAAGTGCCACATGCAGGCATTCACACAGCACCCACAGGACTCTCACCTTTCCCCTAGATATCCTCCCCAGTCAAGAACACTTGTGTATGTGTGTGTGTGTGTGTGCATTTTAATTTAAAACTTATAGTAGAAAACAAGAGTTTTTTTTTTCAATTCCCAAATATAATATGGTTGTACAACAAGGATGGTTGTGCCCTCCCTCACAGCACACCTTGAGGACACTAATTCAGGCCTGTGTAGGGAGGGCGTGGCCCTGAGTGACAATCTTAGCCCTGGATGTGCCGGTTACTAGAAGTGTGAGCAGGATGTGCAGATGTGAGGGAAAGAAGGCAACAGGCCAACCTAAGTCCTGCTCCCAGCCCCCCAGGGGGTCTACACCTGGAGCCTCCCCTTGTGGGACAAGCCGTAGGGGAGAAGGGTGGTCATAGAGGTGGAAAGCAAAGTGCATGTTGTTCCCCTCCACATCCCAGCGAGGGGAACCCCAGCCGTGTGTGGAGGCGGGAGGATTGAAGGTGAGAATCCTCTGCCCCTGTCTGCCCTGGGGAAGATGCTCTCCAGCCCCTTGATTTCTCATGAATTTGAAGTATTATATTTATTTTCTTTGCCAAGTTCTGGGCTTAATAATATAACCTTGTTTCTGTGGAAAAACGAGTTCTAAGACCCAAGTAATGACCCTAGAAATCAACTTGCAGGTCGACCATCTTGGTTACTCTGGGGGAGCTCTGCTGTTTGTCATTGTAGAGTTAACGTGATGTAAAGAGCCTTATATAAACTGGGGATCTTGATGTCTCTGTGCCAGGCTGCCCCGGCCAGCTGCAATAGGGTCCCAGGGAAGCCACATCCCCTTCCCTGTGGGGGCCTCATCTGTAGAACGCAGGGTGGGACTAGATGTGCGCCCCTTCCAGCTCTGAGTCTTTGGGGCTTCGGGTTTCTTCACTGTTACTTTCACCCACAGCATGGTATTGAACTTCCAGCTAAGTAGAGGACTTCTTTGACACAGGGTGTGCTGGTTCCAGGTCCATCTGTCATGCTGTGTCAACTCCTTTCTGGCTGTGTCAGCCCCCCCCTGCTCAAAGGGCATCAGGAAGGAGAGACCTGGGTGCTTCTCCTTCCTTCTACCTTGGCAGGTGTCTCTGGCAGAGATACATCTCTGCCTCATTTCTAGTGCCTGCCATGGCTCCAGCTGTCCAAGGGTAACCCTGGGTCTTGGATGGCCACCATCTGCCCCCATCTTTTGTTTCGCCAGCTCAGCAGGGACAGCAGCTTCCTGCTCCCTTTTGCCTCTGGGTTGCCTGGCCATTTTCTGGGTGTCTTTTCAGGCTGCCTGTCCTTCCCATTCTCCACATTAATTTCCTCTTGTCTCAGATACTTGGAGTGGTTTCTGTTTACTTGGCTGGACTTTGGCTGATGCACTTAAACTTTTATTGGTTTTACCTTATAACAGCCAGCAGTAAAGATGCCGATGATAAGGTTGGTGGTTATAGACCCTTATTTGGTGTATAACCTCGCACATTACAAAAGCTTTCACTTGGGTTCTGTAATTTGAGTTTCACAATAACGATATGATGTAAGAAAGGCATTTATCATTAATTCCATTTTATAGAAGAGGAAATGACTTCACTCAACTCCCACAGCTGGTGGGTTTTGATAGAGTAGAACCCGAAACACTGGTCAGGGGAGTATTAGTTACCTACTGCTGTGTAACAAATGACCCTAATACTTAGTGGTGTAAAATAGCATCCTTGGCTATTGGGAAATGGTCCCCAATTCACTGATGTTTCTCCGCTCACACATGTTGAGAGATGATTGCTCACCCAGAGCTTGAGGCATGGGTCAACCAGGGAGGGCTTTGAGGTTATACTTTAGAACAGTCTGAGCTGGGGTCAGACTGTGGTGATGAGGAGGAAGGTGGCTGACTGGCATTTGCTAGTGTAACACTGAACACGCAGTCTCCAGGTACTTGGGTGCAGCCCAAGCTTATTGATACTAACATCCATAATAGGAAAGACCTGTGTGTCTATCTGTCCATCTACATTCTCCACTGAATGTCCAGTGTGCAGCCCTGCTGGAGGGCAGGGAGGATCCCTGTCTTGGATGGGCTTTCATACTATTAGAAACAAGTACATTTTAAATTCTCAAGTCAGCCTTTGAAGAAGATCAGGGTCACGATATCCGTGATATCCTCCACTTCATCAGTCACTGATCACTATTTCCATGCATTTTGTGCTTACCTTGTGCCAGTCTCTTACCCCACCATCACAGACGCCTAGCCAAGGATCTCCCCCGAGTTATTTCTGGAAGTCCTGGAGGATGGCTCATGTGTAGAAGTGGACTTCATCCTTCCTTCTTCCATGTAGTGTTTACTCCTTCCCAGCCCAGCCTTACGCTTTAATGTCTATAATCAAGCCCTGGGGAAGATGCTGTCCAGCCCCTTGATGTCCGTAATCCAGGAGGCTCCTGCCAGTGCAGATGTGGCTGGTATCTGGGTTGGGCTGGGGTCTCCATCCAGTGTGAATCATGCTCCATAGGGACCCAAGGAGAACGCTTCTCTCTCTTTGTATCTTGTCAGCTTATATTTGCTCCAAATCAGGCTCACCTTGCTTTCCAGTAACTCATGGAGATTTTAATAAATAAATATGTTTTTGTTTTATTCTGTTTCAGGTTCTACTCCCACAGGTTCTGGTGCAAGCTCCAAGCCAGATGTAAAGAAGTCCATCAAGAAACTTTCTGAGCCCTTTGCTCAAGTGTTCCCCATGCTTTCTGTCATCGTCCACCCTGCCCCAGTGGACAGTGACCCACTGGAGCACCATCCTTTTGGATGATGCCTTCTGAAGTGTGGGGAACAGACCATTGGTGGAGACTGCATTAGTTATCTGTTGCTGTGTAACAAATAACCCGAACACTCAGGTGGCTTCAAAGAGCATACTTCAGTATCTCACAGCCTTTCTGGAGCAGCAACCCAGGAGGGACTTAGAAGGTCCCTGGACTCTGTTCCAGGTCCTTTGTCTCTCATGAAGCTGCAGTCATCTTAAGGTTCCCTCATGTTACTGCTGGTAGGTTTCAGTTCTTCCTGGTTGATATGCTGGGGGCTGGAAGGTTCCCTCAGTTCCTTCACATGGGCCTCTCCACAGAGTGTTTTGCAGCATGGTGCTGGTGAGAGGACAGGGAGAATGCAAAGGAGCCACAAGTCATGGTCTCACAGCCTAATATTGGTAGGGATGTCCTGTCACTTTTGCCAAATTGTTTTTTAATTAATGCATTTTGGCAAAAGTGATTAGATTCCCTCTTTAATGTTTCATGAAAACATTTGTGGTGAGTCTTCTCTAACACCCAAGGGATTGGAAAATTAGGATGAATACAGTTTAAATTGACTCTCTCAAAAAGAGGTATATACTTCCCTATGAGAAAACATGGCAACCTTCCTGAGTGCTGGTTTCACTTAAAGATGTTGGGTTGAAAAGTTAAAATATCTGACCAGCAAATATTTTAAAAAATTCTTATACAAAAATGAATGTAGATATATGTCCCCCTTGCTCCTTTGAGCCATACGCCTCATCTCCACCAAGTAGAGTGTCCTTGACTTAGCTCCGCAGGTGTTGTGTGTTTCATATCCTGGTTAAGAATTAAGTGCAAATGTCCCCAGAATTTTTAAAATAAAAAATATACGACTGCAGAAAAGCCGTCTATATCCCTCATCCTCCCTGTGGTGCCCAGGAAGGGTATGAGGCCATCACTAGCTGCTGGTGAGGGATTCTGATAGAAAAATGTGAGGAGGCGCAGTTGCTAGAGTTTAAGCGCAGACTCCTACCTGTGCCTGTGTGGTGGACCTCCTTTAGGCCCCTGTCATCCCTACCCCTGGTGTTCACGCCATTGTAGAAGCCTCTCCCTTTGATGGCCTGCAGGAGCTGTGCCTTGCTCCACATGAACAGAATATAGCAAAGGCAGTGGGATGTCACTCACATGATTAGACAATGCTGTATCAGACCCGGTCTCATCAGATCTTTCCTCATGGGCTTGATGAAGCAAGAATCTAGACTGGGGGAGAAAGCCCACGTGGTGAGGAACTGCAGGTGGTACCTAAGATGTGAAGACAGCCTCTAACTGGCAAAACCCAGGACCCTCTGTGAGACAGCCCCAGGAACTGAGCTCTGTCAACAACCTGAATGAGGCTAGAAGCCAGTTCATTCCCAGGTGAATGTGCAGCCTGCCTGACACTTGGATTGTAGCTGGTGAGATCCTAAGCAGAGACTCCAGTGGAGCCATGCCTCTACTTCTGACCTGCAGAAACCGAGGAATACCTGTGTGTTGCGTTCAGCCTCAGTTTGCGGTAGGTGTTACACAGCAATAGAAGAAAATGAATATACCTACCAGAAGGCCCGTGTGAAAATCTAAAAAATGTTTCAAGGTACAACAAATTTGACTATATAATTTTGTTTTCACTAATTGTCTTTTTTTTAGGCTCCAAATATTTATAAAATGTCCCCAAGGATGAAGCTCTCAAGACCAAATTGAACGCGTCTTGGTGGAAACCAAGGTCTGCCAGAGCCATCTTAGCCAGGATGAAACACACAACACCTGAAGGACTAAGTCAAGGACACTCTGCTGGGTGAGACAAGGTGTCTGGCTCGAAGGAGCAGGGGGCATGTGGAACAAGTCACTCAGAGGGTGCTTTGCCTCAACTCTGGGTTTATGAAGATTGTGTAGGAAGAGTGTGGTGGAATGCTCAGATTTCCTTTTTGCCTTTAAGTTGGTGAGTCAGAAGGAAAAGGTTAGTGGGCAGTTGATACTGAGTAGACACAGGAACAGCTTCCTCTTGCTCCCGGAGTTGAATGACTTTGTCCCTGAGATGTTAGCATGGTGGACCGTAGAGTCTTTAGGACCCCTATCCTCCTCTAGGCTGGGACTAGTATGTTAAATTGTGGAGGGCACTAGCCTTGGATGCTGAATTTAAAGGGTGCCCTCAACCTGGAAATCAAGATAAATAAAATTTTAATGAAATATTTAAAGATTAAACAATTATGCCAAACAACAATGAACAAGTTATCAACATTTTAAAGAGGGACAGGATCCCGCCTTGGTCCTAATCCTGACCCTGACTGTCCACACACGGAGATGTTTGAGTGGTTAGGACCCAGTCTATAAATAACGGTCAGGCAGCCAGTGGCAACCCTGGGGACATGGTGCAGGTCTTGCTGCCTGGAACTTTACAGGTAAATGGAAGTTTTAGCTGTGACCACAAAACATAATAAAAGACTTACCTGGTAGTTGGTCTATTGAGAGAAAGATCTGCCTTGTATTCAGGGTTTTATTCTTTTCAGCCTTGTTTTATATTTTATTGGTCTTCAGTTGGGTTTTTCCAAAAGCAGACCCCAGTCAGGGACTAGGTGCCAGCAGTTAATTTGGAGGTGACCCCCGAAAGCTTCAGTAGGGAGTACAAAAAGGAGCCAAGTGAAGGGAGGGAGCCACCTGTAAGGGCGAATGACAGAGTCGGTTGATACCATGGGCACCTGGGACTTAATTGTTCTGAGGATCCTTGGAGAAACAATATGAGCCCATCTCAGAATTGCCTCACGTGGGGGGTGAAGCAACTTGGGCATATATATGGTATTTCAGGTCATTCATTAGTTGAGGTTTACCCTTAAAAGCCTGATGTCCCTTCCTGCCCAGGGAGAGAGTCAAGTACTTCCTATGGTGGACAAAGATCTCAGAACAAGAGGTGCAGGGGCTTGGAGTAAGAAGGTAGAGGAGAGTGTGGGAGCTGTCACCAAACTGCAGGTGAGCTGTGAGGCGGGCTGATGGGACAAGGGCAGGACGTTGACAAGCATGAAGTGCAGCTAATACCCACAGGGAATAATAACTAGAATAGGACAAGCTCTTCTAAGCACGTGGAGTGACCAGGTCTGGATGCGCCACAAGACTCAAAGACACTGGATTCAGGAGCCGACTTGGGTATGTCTCCCTGCATGGATTCCAGCCTTTGGCCTCTCTGTGTTGGCTGCCTTTACCCAGTGGGACCCTGGACCCACAGATGACCAGGCAACAGTGACAAGGAGGGACATGCAAGGAGGACCCACAAGGTGCATGGTGATTCCTGCAGTAACTATATCCTTTGTCTGAGAGGAAACCATCACCTCTGGTGTCAAAACTGGCAGGTGGTGGAGATTGTGGAGTGAAAAAGTGCTTGCGTGGCCTGGAACGGGGGGACCTGGTCCGACACTAAGACCGGGACTTCACTACTTTGTAGCCAGACTGTGAGCAGAGAGAAAATGCAGACTGATTTTTCTAACTCAGATCATGTGTGTAATGAATCCTATTAATGGCTGCTGATTTGTTTAGCAGTTACGACATGCTGGGCACTGTGGTGTGCTTTATAAGCCTGAACTCACTGGATGCTCACAACACGCCCCCGAGAGAGGTATCGGACTTGGAGAGGTTAAGTAACTTGCCCAGGTCCCAGGAACAGTACGAGCAGAACTACAGTTGGTAGCTGGGCACACCCTAAGAACTCGGGGTGACGTTCTATAAAATGACTGCTAAGAATGCATATGTTGCATAAAGAAGGACAAGAAGTGAACTGGTTGAAGCCTTGCTCATAAAATAAAATAGAATGCTCATGTGAAGAGTTCATCACTACATTTCAGGATGTGGTGGGCAGACACCACGTGTCTGTGTGTGTGGGAAAGAGTCTGTGCTTGCTACGTGGTTGGAGAAGCGCCCGTGGGCTACCCCCATGCCCTGATATTCCAAAGGTGGGCCCAGACTTTCCCAGGGACAGTCATCTGTGCTGAGAAGGAGGCTCTGGATCTGTGGTGTCCAGGGGACTCCGGCAACTGCTCGGCTTTTTTTGGGTCCCACCCTTTGCTGGCTGTTTGACTGCAGGCAAGGGACTTAGTCACCAGGGAACCTACTTTTCTCATCTGTAAATGAGGATAATGAGCCCTGACTCTTGCCTTCCTCTCAGGTAGGGCAGGAAAGCTTCCTGAGAGCACCCCATGGGGCCTTTTGATGTGCTTAAAAGAATCCTCCTTAATTGCCTGGCCAGGCACTGAGCAGCTGGGCGAAAGTTTTATGACCCAAGATTCCCACAGCGCATCATCTACCGGCTCCAGAAGCCCTCAGAGGGTCTCAGCGATGGATTCCGCGGGCAAAGCTTCTGCCAGTCCATCAGCAGAGATCTCTCAGAGCCTGAGTCACCTAATAGGTGGCTTCCTGGGGGTGCTTTGGCCAGGGCCACATGTATTTATGTGGTATTTTCTGAGAGTTCCTATGAGCACATGGCAATTTCTCCCTCCTCCTGGAACCCGTCCATAGCAGTCATTTCTAGAGCTGTGAACTACTGCTGACCTTTGTCACTTCTGTGACAAGCTGGATGTGCCTTGTCCCTCTGGGTCCGGTGTTTGGAAGGATGAAGTGAGCATTGGGCTTGGTACCAGCATGAAGCTTTCTGAAGAGTCTCTGCCTCCGGCCTGCCTGGCTGTCCATGCTCACCACACTGCGGTCTGGCCAACAGAACACACTGCTTCCTCCTGGGAACCACCAGAGTCCCTGCATGGTCCACAGGAGGAAAGTTGAACAAGTAACTCGGCCTCCCAACCTTGGCCCCCAACTCAAAGTCTGGTTGCAAGTTTGCTTCTCTTCCTTTCCCATCTTCTGTAATGTAGACAATCCTTTCACTTAAGTTTGTTGTCACCTCCTGTGTGCCAAGTACTATGGTAAGCTGTGTTCAGCTCTGGGCAATGAGATATCGTTCCTGCTCCCAGACAGGCATGGCTTCTGATAAGGGCCATGCTGTGCGAGAGGGTGGGTCTGCAGGGGTCCGCCTGGGGAGAGAGTAGGAAGCCCAGCAACCAAGGATGATTAGGATGCAGCGTGACAAAGAGCCAGCGGTGGGAGTGGGAGTGGAAATCACGGCCGGAATGTTCCAGCAAGAAGGGCGTAGATATGAGAGGGGCCTGGGAAGTGGGGATTGGTGGCACCTTATGGCTTGGGAAGAGGCTCGGGTCCTGAGCACCCTGGTGAGCCATGCTAAGAGGCCTGGACTTTATTCTGAAGGAAAACCAATCCTGAGCTGGGACTCGACGTGGCTACCATGTCCTGGATTGGCTCCTGGCCAGGAGCTCTGGAACGCCTAGGCCTCTGCCAGAGAGAGCCTTTCTTTCTGAACACTCCAGAGTCTATTTGTTGTAGGTTACCTTTTATCACATTCTGCCTCTACTTTCTATTTGCCACATTTGTCTGTCTCCTTAGGACACTTTCCTCTGGTTCCCACAGCACTTAGCACGCAGTGCTTTGAGCCCCACCCCCTTCCGGCTCCATTCCCACTGCTCATTAGTTGTGTGATCTTGACAAGTCACTTTATCTCTGAGACCTTGAGTTGTCTCATCTATAAAATGGGAGCAATGATATTTATTGCATAGGATAATTGTGCGGATTAAGTCAAGTACCCAGTTAACACCCAATAAACGTTCCTTGCTTTCCTCCTTCCTTTGGTCTCTGGCTCAGAGAGATTGCTGCAACACGGGGCAGAGCATCTCTGAGGGAGGGATACTCACTTTTCCCATGGGCCCAGGGAAGTGTTGGATGCATGAACAAGATCCCATCTGCACTGGCTTGCTGAGTACCAGGCAGAAGGCGGAAGACAAACACCATTGCACGGAGTCTTGGCTAACACCGGCAGCTGTTGCCACCCATTCTAATCTGATCAGTTCTTTGACATCTTCTGTGCAATCCTCATGTTAATGTAAACAAAGAGAAAATGTTGAAAGTAATTTGCAAAACACAAAATTACAGGATGTGAGTCTTCTTGTATAGGATTATGCCTTCAACAAAGTTGTGCTCCCAGGGAGAAGAGAAACTGTCATCTGCCAATGAGTGTTCCCCCTTTTCTACCTGGCTGCTGCTTGGCCTGTGCACAGAATACAGACCATGAGTACAAGTCTTTGTCACAGTGACGACCACCCTTATCATCACCATCGTCACCCACAGTGCCTTCTCCTGCTCCCTGGCCTCCTCTTCCTTATTGTTGACATTTGGATGGGGTGCAGGACAGATCCCCACCTCCTTGTCCCTCAGGCCATTCTGTATAATCTGCATGCATCTGACAGACCGCTGCACAGCACTCCTAGATACCCCACTCTTACGGAAACTTCAGGAGGCAGCAGAGCAATCATCTTCATCCTAACTGACGAGGAATCAGAGGTACAGAGAAGGTGGGCAACCTGAAGGAGGGCCAAGGACTTGAGTGGAGCATTTGCAGGCTGGGGCAGAGACTCACGTTGTCTGCAACCTGAAAAGAGTTTCAGGTTGTTTGAAGCAAGAGGGCAGCCTTGTTTCTGGGCACCCAGCCCCAGTTTCCTGTTGATATAGGGTCACCATGAAGTTGAAAGAATCTTTTCAGCACCTGTGGAAGTCAGTTTCTTTTTCTACCTTCCTTCTATTCTTGGAACTCCCACTGTGTGCCTGGAACATAAAAGTGTTTGTTGCATGAATAAAGATTGAAGGAGAACATGAAGAATAATGAGAAGAGAGTTTGCCCTTGGGGTGATAGGACCGGTATGACTTCTAGAATATTCCACAGATGCCCCCGCCATCCTGCCTTGGCTCACAGAGCTGTGAAATTGCATCTGCGTATTTGTCCTCTACTGAAGTGCTAGGGACAAGGCTTCCCTCCCTCATTGTCTGCTTTCCTCATGTTTCCTCATGGTAGAGCAGAGGTGCGGCCACAGTTGAGGACCCCAGGGAGGCCTGACGCTCGCTGGGTTGCGTTTAGCTGTTGAGCAAGGTTGATACTGCAGGCCTTTGTGGCCGTTCCTTCCTCTAGAGCTGCCTGAGTTCTGACTGGTTTTCTGCACTTTTACGTTTCATGCTTTAATTGCCTCCACTCTCTGCAGGTGTCCTAGGAAAATTCTTGGCCAAAGAACAGAGGTGATTTTTTTTTGGCCAGCATTTTAATTAATTAAAACACACACACACACACACACACACACACACCATAAAACTAACGAGGCAGAGTGTGAAGTTGAGAAGTCCAAGGGAATCTATCAGCAAGTGCAATTTCAACAAGCCCCTTTCATCTGCCACTCATGGAGACACCGAGATCCAATCAGCTCTCTGCTGGAGAGATTGGCTCAGGTGATTCTGAACAGTGAGTTTCCTTCCCCTTCTCTGACCCCTCTCCATTCTCATCCACCCCTCCTGTAGGAGAAAGAGACAGAGCGGCTTCTCCAAGGTTCAGTTCCTGGGACAAGCCAGGTCATTGCTTGCCTGGAGACAAGGTGACCTGCCCCTCTCTTTTATGCTTTAGGTAATTGACAACGGTGATGTTCAATTACTATTTCTTCTTTCGCATTTGAGGCCCCAGGTGCTCAGTTTTCTCTGGTTTCTAATAGGCTTACTCTATAGCAGCCAGCACGGAAAGGCTTGGAATTCACATCGAGATATAAAGAGGGACGACACATCTTCTTTCATTCCCTGCTTTTCATTGTAACAGCCATAAATTATGTTTTGGCAAAGTGGAAGCCCCAGCCTCGGGGAACTGTGTCTCCTAGAAAGTTCTGCAACCCAGACTCAAGGGTCCCTTTCTCTTGACCCAAAGACCATCCAATATTCTTCAAATTCCCCCAATGTTAGCATCCAAATCAATCCCCCAGTTGACTCCTTGCACAAATGGCATACATTTAAAAGTCTGATCCATATTATGATTTTCAGCTTGGAAAATCAGTCACCATAATTATAGCTCCCACCGAGTCCTCCTTTCTCAGAATTCCCCCAAGGACCTGAGACCATCAGTGTTCAGAAACACTGAACTGTGGTTGCTTTACCGCTTTCTTACTGTTCCTCTCAGTTTGTCCAGTTCTCTTCAGTTGGGTGATAGCCTAAGAGGAAAAGTAACAGGGCCTCTCGGTCTCAAGTATACAAAGACCGTTTGAGAAGATGTGTTTGGAAGAGGCACTCAGGATACACGCGAGGGTTTAAACAGGAGAAATTCTGGATGTGTCAATATGATCTGACCTCCCTTTGTCATGTGACCCTAGGTGATATTCTTGTGAGTGGGTCTAGGAGGCGTCCCTTCTGTTGCAAGTCAGACTCATCAGGGGAAATCATGGTTGATTCTGGGCATTGACTTAAGAGAACACAGAGATTGGAAGGAAGGTATTTAGAAGACATCAGCTGACATAGTGAGGGAATTTGATGATGCATATGAAGACCTCCAAAATAAAATACACACAGAAAAAACAAACTGAAAAAAGTTGCATAACTTGGAATGGATATGGGAAAGAGAGATAACTTTATTCTTTATGATCCCAAATGTCACTAATAATGTATTAGTTAAGCTCTGATGCAATAACAAAATGAACCACAAACATTTCAGTGGTTTCACACAATAACAGTTGATCTCTTACTCTGCCAAAATACAATGAATATTGTGTGTTCTCTTTAAATTTTAGTGACACCATGTGGAACACAGCATCTGAGGTCACTAGAACCTCACATGGAGAGATAGAAGAGGCATATCAGTTTCAAGTTGCCTCAGCTTGGATGTGACTCATGTCACTTCCACTCATAATCCATCAGAACCAGTCAGATGTAAGATTGGGAAGTGTGAGTATCAGATGAATTCTTGATGAGTGTAGCTCATTCACGAACTGGGATCTTTTCCTTATTTAACATTACTTCTGTAGCACCATATGCCAAGCACTGTTCTACATTTGACAAATGTGAAGTCATCGAGACCTTGTAATGGCCCCACTGGGTGGTTATATTTATCCCTATTTTTCAAATCAGGAAATTGAGGTCCTGAGATGTTAAATGAGTTGTCCAAGGTTTCCTAGGGATGTGTGGAAGACTCACATTCATATCAAGGTATTGGGATCCAGAGTCTCTGCCTTAACCACAGTTCTATGCACACACACCCCAGCCTGCTCATGAGCACTGGGTTGGGGTGGTAAGAGGCTGGAATTGATACGATCATCAGCTCATAGGGAGGCAGATAGCACTGCCTCCAGAGAGCACTGGAGCCAATACCCTCTTTACTCAGAGATGGCCAGACTTCTGGGGAAACTGAGGTCCATGAAGAAGAGTGAGGTGTTCCGACTCTCCCAGCAAGGACTGGGTGTTCTAAAAGGTAAAATGGGTCCGAAATCTTAACGCTGGCATCAACAAAGTTTTGTTTTTTCCTTTTGTGGTGCTAGGAATGGAACTCAGGGTCTCATGCCAGGCACATGGTCTACCGTTGAGCACACCCCCAATGACAAAGGGCTACCATTATAGAAATTTAAAAGCACAAAAGTAGAAAGAATGCTTGAATGAACCCCAAATGCCCAGCTTCAACAAGTGTCAACATCTGGCCCTTTTAACTTCACCTGTCACCTCCCAAGAATTTTAGGGTGAGAATAGAGTTTTTAAAATGAATCCCAGACATCCTGATTCTCTCTCTCTCTCTCTCTCTCTCTCTCTCTCTCTCACACACACACACACACACACACACACACACACACCAAGGTCCAAGTCATTTTGAAGGAGGATTCAGGGAGAAAATGAGACTCAGCCCAGTCCTCTGGAGGAGAATGGCTGCTGTGCCTGGGGAGGGCGCCATGTTTTCTGGAGAAGGTGGACACTGGTCTGTCCACCACTGGTCCTTCTTTCAGCCCAGGCTTCCCTCCCTTGAGGAATTCCAGAGTCTGCCAGACTTCCGCAGCTTCAGTGGAAAAACACCTTGTGAAATGCTGTCTGCAACAGGATGGGAGAGAACAAAACAGAGCATCTCTGTGGATCCCTTATTCACAGCCAGTGCCTTCTCCAAGGACAGCCTCTTGCCTGCTGTGGGGCCTCCGAGCCCTGCCAGGGGTGCTGATGTCTGTGGAGTCACTTGTCTCTTTCTGCTCAACGTTTTCCAGAAGGGTGTCTCACCCCAGCTGGCCAGGAGGGAAACA